ATGTGCCTCAGATATGCAGACATAATGATTTATGTTATGTTCAACCATTTGGAGCTTTTTTGACTAGCAATTTCGGGCACTTGTTTGATATGCTGATCTAAACTGCTTGCATTTTAGCAGCTGTTGGTTTTTCTGTATATTTCCCCTTTGATATGCCTTAAATGATGGCATTAAAGTCAATCGACCATTTAAGGTGGTGCAATATCCTTCTAAAACTGAAAGGACACGTTTCCTTTTGGGCCTTTTTTATGTAAAAGATTTTTGTGGTTACTTTTGACTAACAATTGAATATATATTGATGAGAACAAGATCTAACGTATAATGATTTAAGCAAAATAAGTACTCCAATAAATAAAGGAAGGAGAACCTTCTAAAGGATTAATTCCTTTGTTATGTCAACTGAATTTATAAGCTCATGCTTTCTTCAAATTTCAAGGTGGAAAGACTTTGGTTTTTCTTTTGACTCCACGGAAACCGTAGATTAACTAACATGGACTCTGGTATGGTTGTCCAACATGGGTATTGTCTAAATGGTTGTCTCACCTATTACTCAAAGTTTGGACTTGTAAATTTTGCCTAAAGAGTCCAAAAGTGGGTGACAGGTACATCTTATTAAAATGTCATAAAAAATGTATAAATACAACACCTTATATAAATAACATTTCTTTTTCGTTTTTCCCTGACCAAAAACAAAGGTGCTATGTTTTCTTTTACCATTATATTGATCATCAGAAAAATGTATAAATACAATAACTTATATAAATACATGGAGATTTATTAGGTTTGCACATGCTTTTCAGAACTTCAGATGGTTCTCATTTCAATTCTATGGCATGAGTGCATATATTCACAACATGTAGAAACAAAACCATTATGGTATTAATATCTGTCATATTTTTGGTAAATACTTTTCATTATTTTGTCTTCATCCTTATTCACAAGCTTCTAGCCATGAATGAAAAAAAATCTGTAAGTTTGATGACTCACATGAATGAGCCAAGCTGCCTTCTGTTTGGGCTACTAGTCTGATATGGATTACTCTTGTACTTGCTGAGTATTCCCTTGCTGCCTTATTTAGATTACATGTCCAGATAAAAAGAAAAAGAAAAAGGAAGGAACTGTTTGAATGTTGCAGGGTTATTATAATGAGTTTCTAACTTGCAAAGTATTTTATTTATACTGTATAGTTTTCCATTACTATAGAATTTTTTTGGTATTAGTCTATCCTATTCATTCGGATGTTGAACTCCTGATCTAAATACTTAGATGAAAAACTTGATCCCACAAGAAACTATATGAAACTAAAGTTGTCTCTACATTAATAAAGTTCCCAATATAATTAATATATAGTTAGCCTCTTTATATTTATCTTAAGAGACTTTTGGATTAGGCTTGTTGCAACTTTATTGCTGTAAAAACTTTCTTTTTTTGGTCCTGATCTTAAGTGTTGACATGTATTCTAAACGTATGTCATTGGTCTTATTATTATCAGTTTTTAAGAAATTGCTGATATCAGTAGGTCCATCTAGCAAGAAATAAAAGGGAAGTTTTGAACCTTAAGAAGTTGAATAGGCTATAGCCGTGAAAGGCAAGTTCATCACTGCTTCTTGCAAAAAATGTCTCCATTCATGCATGTATTATTTAGGCAACTCTGTGAAGATTTTAAATGCCATGATATGATTCTAGAAACCTCCCTGATTAGCTAGTTTGTTCATAATTAGTCTCATTGTAAGCAGACCTGGACAATGAGCTATCTCACTCAGTTTTTTGTCAACATCTAAGAGTGGAAATGTTTCCTAGGATTCCTTTTTTGTTTCATTAAGATCTGAAAGAAACTGGAAAATTTGTTATCCCTACTTAGATGATATCATCAATTGGAATTCAATTTGGTTCATGTAAGTATAAAAAAGAATATTTTGGTTTTAACTTTGAGTATTTGTTTTCTTGGAGTACCTATGTTTGTTTAGCAGCTAATTCATACCCTGAAAGTTTATCTGATATCTGTGGTAGGATGTATTGGTTTGATTTTAGAAACCCTCCGATGAATCTATGTGACTTTAATCAGTTTTCCACAGATATATTGTATGTCTCTTACTAAGCTTGCAAAAATTTGTGCTTGACATATATCTTATCTTTATTTTTCTCGTAATTTTCTGATGACATGATTTCTTTGGGTTTGAGTTTTTGTGATGTGACATCACTCTTGTTGTTGTCATATGATAATAAATGCTACGTTGATTATTTGTGTTATTGATTTTGGGCAGTCTTTCCAGCAAAAGAGCTCCTGGATGCCAAGAGATGGTGCTTGTCTAACTAATGGAGAGATGGGTTATGATAATTCTTCAAGATCTGAACCGAAGCGTGGTCATCAGTGGTTTATGGATGCTGCTGCACCAGAATTATTGAGCAACAAGAAGCAAGCAATAGAATCAGTTAACAGCCAACCAGTTTCAGGAATTGCAGACATCAATGTTTCTCCTTGGCACAATGCTTCCAGTTTTCAGTCAGTTTCTAGTCAATTCAATGACCGCCTATTTGGATCTGAGCCCATGCGAACTGTCAACCTGGTTGATAGGAACATTTCTTCTGTTGACAGTGGAAATATGAATATCGGAAGAAAGGATTTTGGGGATCAATACGGTAATAGCTCATCTGTGGGTTTTTCTATGTCTCACAACATTGAAGATGCCTCATCATGTCTCAATTTTGGTGGACTAAGGAAAGTTAAAGTCAATCAAGTTAGGGATTCCAACAATGGTATGCCAGCATCAATGGGGCACCCATATAGCAGAGGAGTTAATAGCACAGTTTCAATGTCTACTGTTTACAATAAAAGTGATAACAATGCTATATCACTGGGCTCAACTTACGGCAGTGGGGATGAGAATAACATCTCAATGGGCCCCTCATTTACTAAGGCAGATGGCAATTATATTTCCATGGGTCACTCCATTAACAAGAGAGATGGCGACTTCATATCTATGGGCCACAATTACAACAAAGGAAATGAGAATATCTTGTCAATGGGTCAGCCTTTTGACAAGGAAGATGGCAATTATATTTCAATGGGTCAGTCATATGAGAAGGGAGATGCCAATTTAATTTCATTGAGCCCTTCCTATGGTAAGGGGCAGGAAAATTTCATTTCAATGGCCTCTGCATATGGTAAACCAAATGAGAGTCTGATTTCAATGGCCCCCTCTTTTGATAAGGATGATGATAGTATCATACCAATGGGACCATCCTATCATAAGGTGGATTGTACCATCACAGCAATGGCTACTACACAGGACAAAGGAGAGTCAGGTATTCTGTCTATGCATCAAAACTACAACAAGGGTGAGAGCAATACCATATCTTTTGGGGTCTTCCATGATGAATCTGAGACAAATCCCTCAGGCAGTATTATTAGTGGCTATGACTTACTGATGAATAATCAGAATTCAGCACAAGCTTCAGAAGTGCCTAGCCAGCGAGAGTTGCTTGAGTCGAATCCAGATTCAAATGTAAATAGTGCCCCTAAAAATAATTCTAGGACTGTTACCAAAGCAAAGCATAAAGAACCAAAGACAGCTAAAAAGGTTTCTCCTAACAGCTTCCCTTCCAATGTCAAAAGTTTGTTATCAACTGGTATGCTTGATGGGGTTGCTGTCAAGTATGTTTCCTGGTCACGAGAGGTGAGTTATTTCCTATGCTTAACTTTTCACCATTGGAATTTCACTTATGTAAGGTAACCTTTCCCTTGGCAGAAAAACCTTAAAGGATATATACAAGGGACAGGGTATATGTGTGGCTGCAACGACTGCAAGTTTGAAAAAGTAAGCAACTCAAATAATCACACTGCTTTTCAGCCTGTTTTAAGGTGCCAAACAAAAATGTAGCTTCTCTCTCTCTTCCCCTTTTCCCAACTACAGATTAATGGGAAGAGAACAAGATTATTATCCGAGTATCGTTGTCTCATCCTTCATAATTTATTATGCAGGCTCTGAATGCATATGAGTTTGAGCGTCATGCTAATTGCAAGACCAAACACCCCAATAATCACATTTACTTTGAGAATGGAAAGACCATCTATGCAGTTGTTCAAGAGCTCAAGAACACTCCACAGGAGATGCTTTTTGATGCAATTCAAAATGTGACAGGGTCTCAAATCAATCAGAAGAACTATCGCATCTGGAAAGGTAATGTAGCTGTTCTAGTTGACTGACCGGATGCATACCTGAAGGGTCCATTTTGTAAATTGTCTCACTCAAATTCCTTCTTTCTTTTTTCTCAGCATCATATCAAGCTGCCACCCGTGAACTTCAGCGTATCTATGGAAAGGATGATGTTGTTGTGTCATCTTGAGATGAAGACTGTCTTTCAAAGCTTGTGAGGTGGGTCAGATCTGTGCATAGCAGCGTGTATCTTTTATACTAAATTATAGACTTGTTTTGGGATTTCAATAATTTGAGCAGATGGATGCTAATAGATATCTTTGCTTTCCAAATTTTCTAAATGATAACTTTATTTATTTTGATAATCGTATTTGTTTTGAGAAGTAGAATTTAACTTTTCTGAATGTGTATGACTGAAGTATAGAGTTGCTGACTTGCTGCATCTGTGTCAGCCATGGTGGCAAAGCATTCCTCTTCGAATGCCTTGGGCACTTTGTAGACCTTGTTATTATATTCTCTACCCATAGATCATTTGGCATAGGGAGATTTCTTTATTAATTGAAACTAATGTAACCAGATGATTCCCAATTTGACCCACCCCCAAGACCCCCTGCACAATCTTCCTCAGAATAAACAATTTTCATATCTTGAGCTACCTAGTTTTAGTGGCATCTTTGGTGTGGCAGCAAGTCTATGACTCATTCTTGATACTTTTTTATGAGGAGTTTAAGAATCCAGATTATGTCATCATGTTGTAATGAATGACTAAATTCGACCTACTTGGGGTGAGGTGGTCTCTCCTATTCACCTATATCAATCCAGCTTTATTCACGTCTAGTTTAGGTTACGACTACCAAATATTTGAGCTTGTCGCAAGTATGATTTTTCTATAGTCCAGAAGGAAGAAATCTCCTTCGAAGCAAATGAGTGGAATCTTGGATTATGTCGATGTTTATATGCATTTTGAGCTTGGGAATGATGAGTCAAGACAAGAGAATCCTGAATAGACTTAGGAGTTAGAAACAAGGATGTCATTTTTAGTTTATGGGAAATTGTTTTTCCACTTTGAAGCCTAAGAAGAGCCTTTAACCTGGTTCTTTAGTAGTATTATTTTCATGGCTTAGAGTCTGGGTCCAGCATGAAATAATTTCTTCAACAGCCACGTTGGTTTCTTTGTATGCATTTCTAAAATTAACAGCAATCGATGTTCATTTTAAAGCTATGACTCCCAAGGGTCATACAGAAAACTCATTTTACAGCCCTCCTGAATAGACTAATGCTGGACACTGACATACAGAAAACTCAAAAACTTTTCAATATTTTCCCATCGGTACCTTCAATCAGATTCTTAAAGGGTTTCCCTCCTTTGGCTTCTCTCCATTTGCGGTAAACTCAGGATCTGGAGTCTCTATATGGTCATTAACCGTAGCCTTCTGCTGATCAGCTTGTGCTACCGTGCTGTCTGGTTTAGATTGAGGTTGGTCCTTGCTTTTACCCCACAAAACTAGATATAGGCCAATAACGATAACAATGCTTCCAATTACCCTGCAAAACAAATTCCATGGTTCAAAGACCTTGAAATTGCAAAGACTATTGGCTTCTTATATAGGAGAGATTGATTCACACCTTCCTAGACACATTTCCTCAGCCAGGAAAAAGGAGCCGCAGATTGCAACAATAACCATTTGTAATGGATTAAAAGCACTCACAAATACAGGACCCCTCTTGATTACCGATCCCATTGTATATAAAGCCAAAGCTGAGACCAATCCCTGCACATAGAACCCATCAGTTAATTACTTATTCGTAGTTTTAACATTTCTAGAATATATAGAAATTTAACTCTCTTTAATTAATTCATGTTGTCATATTAAAAAATGACATCTAGTAACTTAGCAGTTCTAAGGATCGAATCTCAGCACCTGCAATTCTTGTCTTTTTCTTCAGGAGATATGTTTCAACTTTTAGGAGTTATTTGTACTTTGAAAGAATTTCTTACACCGTAGAGAGCAGCAATGAGTTTGAAATCCAAGTGAATTAACCAGGCTGAAGTATTGTGCCGTTCCACTACTAATGCCATAATGGTGCCTTCTACCGTGCCCATGGAGCAAATCAGAGCAGTGAGGGAAAGCTTAGCTGGGTAAGACCTTAAGATAATTGCCTGTTAAAACCCCTCAAGTTCAGTTCTCAGATGTCATTAGCTATTGATAATTGATTTTACTTGAGCATGAGGCTAAACTTAACATGTACCTGCGAAATGATGAAACAAGACCAGCAGCAACAACCGGCAATGAGCATAAGAGTACCCTTCAGCAGATCTTGCTCGTGAGCTCCACTTGCACCAGATTGACCAGGGTGGTTTCTGCCCTTTGTCCACGGCAATTCTAGAATAGGCCCCTTGATTAGAGTCATTATCATTGCTCCTCCGACTGTCACCATAGTTCCAGCCACCTTTGCCTGGCTAGGCACCCTCCTGATCTCCACCTTCTCAAGCCTTAAAAACACCTCATGAATTGTAAATCATCGTCAAACCAGCGTGTAAAAGAGTACAAGAAATCTAAATCAAGTGAGCAGAACATTACTTGAAGATGCAAGCCAATACAAATGTTAAGGTAGGAAGAATATTGCACATAGCAGTTGCAAACGTCGCGGTCGTGTACTTCATTCCAGTGTAAAAGAAGTTGTGATCAAGCATCGGCCTATACACAGATACCATAAATCACCATTGATGATTATAATGCGAAATTTAAAGGTTTGAGGCGGAGTCTAGATTACTCGAGTAGACTGATCAACATTATCTTGGCAAAGAAGGTGAATGTCATCTTTGGCCTTGATTTCCTGCATAAGTACGAGATCATGTTGGTTAGTTTCTTCAGAAATTTTTAGTGAAAAGGATTCTCAAGTTAAACTACAATGGCGAGCAATGGAGGAGAGAGAGAGAGAGAGACCTTTCTAAAACAATGGCGAAAGGCGAAATGAGAGCAGAGGCAACAGCCAGCCTGTATGCTACCAATACATGTGGACTCATCCCCTTATTCAGAACAAATTTCGCGATTATCGACATCACTGCATAACTTAACTGCATCAAGATCATAGCCAAAAATGGTTTTGCCTGGTTGAACAGTTGATGCAAGGACTCCATGAGACTACTTCTTTCTTTTTCTTTGTGCATCAGAGTGTGCTAGGAGGAGCTTATAATTAAGCAAATGTCTTATAGTAATTATGTGAAGAGTTTTCTTTCCTTTTTGCAGGCATTGGAATCAACTCAACAATGTCATTCAACACAAATGGATTTCCTGAACTGAAAACATTCCCCAATAGTACAAAAACAAAATCATGGAAATAAAAACTCATGAAACTTACTAAAAGTGTCAGATATCATCCTTTGGTCATGAATTATACAAGTCGAATTAATGGTTGTTGTATGTGAACTCTCTGCTATATTTGAATAAATATTAGTAAAGAAAAAGAAAAGGAAAGAAAGTAAAAGAATGGAAAGAAAGGAAAAGAAAGTGGAAGAATGGAAGAAGAGGAAAAGAAAAGAATTCTAACAACCAATCTTTAGTCAAATAATAGAAAAGAAAAGAAATGACTCATTATATATATATATATATATATATAGATATGGAAGAAGAGGAAAAGAAAAAAATCCTAACAACCTTCTTTTTATAAAATAACATATAGTATCAAATTGCCAACTATCCTTTGAATCAGATAGGGAGTTGGCACTTGGATGACATAATGTTTTTTTCAATCAGATATATAGTAGGATAAAAAATTTAAAAGTAGATTAGGAACTTAAAAAAAAAAACGTATAGTATCGAATTAAACTTCTTTTATCGGAATATAACTATAAAATAATGTACAAAAATAAATAAAAGAAGAAAACAATAGATATATTTAGTTTTGTTCAACTAAAGCAATATAAATAAATTAGTATATCTTATCAAATTACAATTATATACAAGTATGAAACTGTACTTCACCTTTGACATATCATTTTCGTTTTTACTATAATATTTACATGTTTGTGTGCATGAATTCTATGTTTCAATTTTCTCTCTTTCATTCATAAAAATAGTAATCAATGAAATTTATAGAATATTAAGTGAAAAATTTTGAAGACAATTTATTCACAAGTAAATGGTGTTTTGTATTCTCAATATAATTTTAGAGTTTAATATCATATATTTTAAAATTTAAAAAAAATAATAAAAATATAATAGTCATTTTATATTTAAAAATTTTATCCTTTTGCTTTCCCTTCCTTTTCTCCCAAATTTGAGATAATTAAAAGAAGAAGGAATTTGAGGGAAACCAAGGGAGTCAAGCGTCCCTTTCTTTCCTTTGTTTTAATTATTGTTATATACAAACAAAGGAGATGATTCCGCCTTTTTTTTTTCTTTTCCTTTCCTTTTCTTTCTTTGGTCTTCCCCCAATCCAAACGTAGGCTTAGCAAACCAAGCTGCTAATTACTTAATTACAATTTTCTCAGTCCATCAAATTTAGACTTCAGCAAACGCCGTAGGGTAAAATCTATTAGGAATTTTTTTCCCTTTCTTTCATGCAAACCAGGAAAAAAAAACAGTAATTATTCTATAAAAAGCCTGGGATTCCTTGGATAATTTTTGTTATCAGAATTTCAGTTCTTACAAGTTGACATTGACATACAGAGCACAAAGCAGATTTATAAATTTGGTTTGCCCGTTTAGGCTATGATATTGATATTTGTCATGTTTTAGAATCATTGATAACTGATAAGGAAATGAATGTGGTAGGTTTCAGTTCACCCTGGATCAGCTTGTAGCCCATCAACATGCAATCAACAGCTAAGCTGTAAGTTTATTTCCAATCTTGGGCAATGGTTTTTGGTCAATTTTTGTCCAATTTATAGTAATTTTTTTTTTGGTATGTAAAAAAATAAATAATATCATGAATAATTTTTAAATTATAATAAAATATTTAATGTAATACTTAAATTTTAAAAATATTTAATTTAATACTTGGATTATAAATATATTAATTAATATATTACATAAATAATTATTTATCTGTCATAGTCATTATTTAGAACTAATTATATTAGAAATAAATATTACATTAACTAATAAATTTATAATTTAAATATCACATTAAATATTTTATTATAATTTAAAAATTATTCATGATATTAACTCTTAAAAAAATGACAAGACAGTAGAGTTGAATTTTAAACCTTAGCTCCAAACCAAAATGTCAACCTATTTTAATTTAAATCATTGAAAATTTAATTTTTAACGATTTAATTTTTTTTAATTAGTCTAATAAAATTTTCCGAGTTGAACTTTCGGAAAAAAAATATAATAAAGTAAAATTTAAGTGTTAATGAGTGCTGGGCTTCTTCGGCCAAACAATTTCGAGAATTATAAATAACACCATCTAAGGAGCCTTATTTAAGTAAAATGGGAAAATAAATTTCTGAATTAAAATTAAATAATCATTTAAAATTTTATTTTTTCAGTTAATTATATCCTCAAACATTTATTTTCTCCGATTAAACTCACGTTAAAAAAATGGTTAATTGTTTCCGTCAAATCAAAAATTAATTAGATAAAAATAAATATTTAAAAATTTAATTGATTCAAAATAAAAAATTTAGTGTTTGATTGATTAATTATAATAAAATATAAAAAAAACTTAAATGATAGTGAATTTTTATGTGAGGACCTTTTTTCTTTAATTTTTGTCAAAATTATTCTACTAACCAAATAAAAATTGACAAAAATTTATCACTTTAATGAAATATTTTGTAAAACATTTTAATTTTATTACTTTTTATCTAAAAAATTAAAAAAATTAAAATATAGTGACAAAAATTAAATAAAATAATAAAATTCAATATTGAGCCGTGTTATAATGATAAATTTGCTCATAATCTCTAAAATTTATTTGATTGTTCCAGTAATAGAAAACCTCATTTAAAAACAAAAGGGAACAAAATTTTCATAATTGCCTTTAAGTTCCAACCAAGTCTTAATTGAAGGCAATTTAAGTACTTATGGAAAATAAAATTTTATAAGATAGAATGCATGTGGCTATCATAAGTATTGAATCTTTTTATGGTAGTATAAGAATTAAGAATGTAATTATGTTTTTTTTTATGCTATTTATAGATTTGTATCCTTGAATGTAATAATACATTGTTTTTTTTTTTTGTAATTAATAAAGTTATTAATGATGTCGATTGCCTTTTAAATCAGTTGTGATTAAAAATTATAAGTTTGAAAAAATTTATTTACACACGTAATGTCTTTTCGAATTAAGTAAATATAAAAGTAAGGGATCTGAGAATTAATTAAAATTTTTAAAAAAAGTAAAGTTATAATTATAAATTATAAAGATAACCAATTAGGGAATGACCAACAACAGTTTTATTTTAGAATTTGCATTCTCTCTCTCTTTGCACTAAAGCAAAGTCTTATTTATTTCATAAATCCCATGCCACTCTCAAAGCTTAAAAAAATTGAGAATTTCAAGCTTTAAGAAAAGTTAAAGTCACTTTCTTAGTGCTTTGCTTAAGGCAGGGAGCCAGCAACCTAACTCATCTTCCTTTCTTCTTTTTTTTTTTTTTTTTTTTCCATGTAAAGTTCAGAGCTGAGATTAAAAACGTTTTCGTAAAAAAAAAAAAATTATTACTGATCATTAGTAATCCTTTATCCAAAAAAATTAAAGTGCCGAAGGGAAAAAAAAAATGACAATCATGTGCATGTAAAGTTTTCTTTCTCATAAAAAAATGGATGTCTTATCAATCAATTTTATTCTCCGGTAGTATTCAGGATGTCTCCCACAATTCTTACCATCCGAGTCAAATCACATTTACAACCATTTTTTGTGGTATGACAATGTTCTCAGTATTCTTCGTGGTAGGTATGATAATTTGTTTATTTCGTCTAAAACACGTATAAAATAATAAAATTATTATGTTATAATTTTTATTGATACATTAATATAAATATATATTTTTAATTTTTGTAATTTCATAATAATTTTTATTAAAATTTTAAATTATAATTCTTTTATATATATTTTCTATTGTATATGTTTTTAACATAATCTAGGTTGACCATTGATTTTCTCTTAACTTAGATATTATCATAATATATAGATTCGTAAATTTATAGTTAGACACAACTTAAAGAATCATAATCAATATTTTATTTAAGTGTGATTGGTTACATAATGAATTTATTATTTTAAGGAACTCTTAAGTTCGATTAAGGATTATTAAAGAATAAGTTCTAAACTTCTGAATAGAACTAGATTTGAAAGTTCGATTACGTGTGAGAAATGTTGTAGCACTCTTACAACGTCCATTCTAAGATAGTATCATTTAATTTTAAATTATCCTAATAATCATATTAGTTCTAATGGTCTTTATTTTAATGTTTAAATATTGAAATAACTTTTAAGTTTTCTCTATCAATCTGATAAAATTCTGAAAAATATTTTCTCACTTCAAGAGTATTCAATAATTTCATTTGTTTTCTTGATAAGGCTCTATCGTTTAAAAAATATTTAATCATTTTTATTTTTATTTTTATTAAAAATATATCTAATTTTTTCACCATTTGGATCAAAATTAAAAATATTTTCTCACTTAAATATCTTAGATAATCATTCATTTGTTATTACTAAAAATTTTATCATCGAAATTTATTTTTATTTTATAAGTTTTATTTCTAAATTTTTCATCATTTGAGTCTATTTAGAAAATTTTTTTTTCTATTTATTCATCACTTGCTTCCTAACCGTACGAACTATTTTTTTTTATTCTTATATAAATTCTTTCACCATTTAAGTTAAATTTAGAAAAAAATTCTCACATAGAAATTTATAGAAATTAACCGTTTGTAATTTTTTAAAATTTCATTATTGGATAATTATTAATTATTTTTCAAATTATTAATGTTTAATTTTAATTTTTTCTAGAGTTTTCCTTAAAATTTAATCATACAAAAATATTTCAAAAAAAATGAATAAAGAGAATAATAACATAAAATAAAAATAAATAAAGCCATAAAAAAATTACTAAAACAAAAAGACCAACTCAGCTCGACTCAACTATAGTGCCGACTTAACTCCAAACACGAAGAACAGCTTTAGAGGCGTGGCTCAATTGACTGGTGACTCAGCTCCATAACAACTTAAAAAAGATGGGTCTTGGGTCAAAGTGCTACAAATCAAGTCTGAGTGTTCGAGGTGGCATGTGGATCTTGAAGGCTTTATGACCAAAAGGCATCGTTTCTTATGTAATATAAAAGCCTAAAAAAACCTCTTTTTTTTAGATTTTTTTTTTTCTTTTTCCTCTCTT